AAGAGTAATGCCTTTTCCTTCTTACGATAACAAAAGAAGAAGGAAAATAGTGCTCCGAACTTAGTGTTTCCCATGTTTATTGTAACTTCTTTTGTTATCCTAAAAAGGAAAAGGCATTATTCTTCTCGACTTTGTCTATCCTTTTTTGTATTTGTGTCTAGCAATCTCGTTGCCGACTAGTTTAGACATAAGCCATAACTTCACAATGGACCCAACGTGAAAAAGAGGGGTGGCTCAAAAAGAAAACAGTTTACCATTTCATTCAATGGAAAGGATATGATTTACAATATCATGCTTAGCAAATGCTTGAAATAAAGATTTATTAACTATGATTCAAATACATATAGGAGATCAATAAAGGAGAGTCAATGGAATTCTTGAAGGTCAAGTCCATTCTAATCACCCCCCCTTTCTTTGCCAAAGAGAGTCATTGCAAAATTATAAATTGAAGAATCATGGGAAACAGATATGTAAGAAATCCTCGTAGACTGAAGGGAAACTTCAGTCATTCAAGCTTGATGCTAAAACACATCTATGATCCAACTATACATCACTTAAAGAAACGACTATCAATATGATTGGAACATTCCTAGGCTTATGATAACTTACATACAGGCCGTTGGCTAGAAATGCAAAAAAGCTAATGAAAGTGATACCAATCCCCATGTTAATAAACTAAGAATCAAATTCTAGCGCTGGACTGTTATTCCAACTAGTAAATATAAAATTCATTATGCCTTGAATAAAAAAACCACTGATCCAATGAGGCAACTCTCCAATCTTGCCTCTGAATGTCATGAACCCATGGATATAGGGATATTTACTCATGTTTGTTTTCACTTTTCTTTTTATTTGATGAGTTTTACATGTATCATTTCTACAAGCATTGCTTGCATGGCATGATCAATACTTTAAGCCTACCAACCTACTACATTGATGGGGTTGTATCATGAGGTAAGATCGTAAGAATGAAACTCAGCATGATGCCCAAGCAGGCAGGCCCTTAATGTGACAACCTTGGGTGCAACATTATCAAGATCACCTAGAGTTTTATTAAACCTACCGAAATCAATGCAATACAAAATAACCTAGTTCAACACATATGCCCATGCCTGCATGTTTTCGCACGACAAATGTTTAACCATGCGGCACAATACCATACAGGTGCATGCATGCACATCGCAAATTTACATTCAAATTGTTTGTGTGCACATTAATCCGTCAAAAAAAGCCCTAACTTAGTAAATCTGGTCCGAGCACATCATGGACATACCATTATAATGTTTACGATAATTGATTAGTTGAGAAAAGGACAATTTTGATACACATAACCCAAGAGTCAAATTAGTAATTGTTGGCTGTATCCAGATTTATATATAATTGATGAAGCACTTATGAGTATCAAATGCTTTCACTTCAAACCATGCAGATTAGCTTTTGTCTAGGGGTGGCATTGGACTCGGACCCAACCCGGGCACTGCCGGGTATACCTGACATGGGTCCAGGTATGGATCCAGCATTTGGACCTGCGAGTAGGGTCCAGGTCTGTCAAAATGGACCCAAAAATTCTCAGGTACGGATCCGGGTACTAGTGGACCTGCCCCATACCCAACCCAGGACCCGTAATTAATAAATTTTTATGTTATATATTTAAGTTAAATAATTAACCTAACTATAATTAACATTTTAACTAAATTATAACCTACCAGTTAGGGTTTCCCATTGTTTTAACATTATTTTCACCCAAACCCTAAATTCCCAAATGCCATTACACTCCTCTGCTGCTCAGCCTGCTCTGCAACTGCCTATCTGCCTCCATTCTCTGCATCGTCTAGGGTTCTTCCACTAGCTTGCCTGCAAGGAGGAAGACTGTGAGAGCCATGGATGTGGTCTATGCTCTCAAGAGGCAGGGGAGAACCCTCTATGGTTTTGGGGGTTAAGATTTTACCTTTTTTTGCAGTTCTAACCCACTCATCTCTGTCTCCCTCTCATCTTCCTCTTTCTCTCTCTCTCACCATGTTATTTTCTCTTACTGTCTTGCCATGTTAATGGCAGCTTTGTTGTCTCTCTTGGATGCCCTCACAATGGAAGCTGGATCTTTTGTTGATCTAGAGTTTCTTCTATTACTTCTTTTCTTTGACTTTTAGCGGGATGTAAATGATGTTGAAGAAAAGGGATGGATTTGGAATGAATGAATGAATATCTCTTTGTTCTGCGTTTCAAAAAACAAAAAGATCTCTGAGTTCTTTCAAAGAAAAGGGAGGGATTTCGCGCATCTCTCTCTCTAGGGTTTGATTTTGCTCTAATGTTTGCAAGATGTGTTCTTCAAGCTGCCTGGTCTTCACCTACAAATTTGATGATTTTCGCTCATCTTTCTCTCTCTGAGGTTTGATTTTCTCCCTTTCCTCCATTCTCTGCATCGTCTAGGGCTTCCTCCACTGGCTTGCCTGCATTTTCTCCCTTTCGCTCATCTTTCCCTCTCTAGGATTTGGAATGGGTTGGTTCTCCACAGTAGGATTTTGCTCAGGTACGGGTCTAGGTCCGGGGTCCAAAATCTTCAATCAGGTACGGGTACGAGAAGGACCATTTTGGACCCATTGGGTACGGGTCCGGGTACGGTTCCAGCAGGACCCGACCCATTGCCAGCCCTACATTTGTCCATTCCAAAGTAACCAAACCAAATCAACTGTGGCAGTTATTTTTTAGCTTTTATTGTTAGTGGCAATTAAGTTCTAACATATGACTGACGTCCAGAGCGAGCCAAGTATCTAGCATATCAAAAGGAAACACACTAAAAACCTCTAGAATTTGAAGCATGGTACTTTTTACCTTTGCTTCATGGGCCGACGGGCATTATACACTGAGATCCATTGGGTTGCAGGGGTGCCTAGACGAACTTTCTTCTTTGGTTGGTCATCATCTTCTAGTTCAACAAGTAATCTTCCACGTTTTTGTCCCACCTGATGAACCAAAGAGCAAGAACATTGGAAAAATGCAAAAAAGTCAACCCCACAAATGGAAGGCCTGAATACACAAAATATGCATACGACATCTTTAGACTCCCCTACTAGTTAGCTTTTAGAAATCAAGCAAGGACGAACTTCAATAATACAAACAAACCATGAATTCACAGTTTGTATAGTAGAAATAACACCAGTTAAAATTATATTAAAGGAAAATATCCCACTCTGATGTAAATAAAAATATTAGGGGCAATTTATAACTATATAATATTGCATTCTTAGCATATCTATAACTTTAAATAAAATAAAAACAATAAATAAAAATGTCCACAGCAAAAATATAACACTCACAATGATATACTATGATCAATGATAGCATGATATGATACAACTGACAAAACATCATACCCAAGGATAAGTACTAGACAGTCTAATAGAAAACATCCCTTACAACATATAACTAAAGCTATTCATCACTAGATCAATATAAACCTAGGTACTTGCTTGGCAACCATCACCTAGAGCCATCCTACTAGTACGTAAAAGATCTCAACCTAGGTGGTCACCTAGGTTGCTTTTGAAAGGAAAGACCTTAGCAAATACACCACAAATAGAATCACCACCTTCAGAGCCCCATCAGTTCTTATTGGCCTCAAAGATGCATTGGGTCCAATGATACGTTCAAAAAGGGAAATAAGTTTTGAATAGTTTGGCTCTTCATCAAATTTCATGTTTGTCACCATCTCAAGAAAGTGTTTGAACGGGTAAGGGCAAAGGCAGCAAAGAATCTCTGGAGAAGTTGCCATCTTCTTCTTACACACAAGAAAGCTTTTGTTGTCTCCCTACAGTTTTAAATACAAAACGAGAATGAGAATAAGGGTGGTGTGAACATCAAAATATCAAAACAAAAACTATTTAAAAAAAAGAAAAAAAAAAACTACCTGATAACCTTGCCAGGGTAGCCTCCCTCTGAGAAGAAATATCAAAGTGTATGCCAATGACTCAAGGTCATCCCTTCGGCTCCCTGTTCTACCTAAATGAGCATGCACACTTGCATAACGTATAGTACCCCTGCAAAATAGATCAATTTAATATTTCTCATCACATAAACTCATTAAAATAGCAATATAAATGTATGTGTATATGGATGTATATATGAGAGTATGTATGAATCTATACATTTCTTATGTGCATTTGTCTTACGTGTGTATCATCCATCACATAAACAAGGTATCAAACTTTTGATGGAAGCACAAACCTGAAAACATCAGGCCTCTGATCATATTCGACATGATGACCAGATGATGCATCCTTCCATTTAGATGCTGGAAAATAAATAGCGTTAAAATAAAAATGCAGATGATCTCGTAATATTTCATAGGTTCCCACATTACACAAACCACATTATATTCTTAACAACAATGTGTCGCAGAAAGCTTAAGTTTCAAGAGAGTTTTCACAAGAAAAGGAAAGAATGAGTTTTCCCGGCAATAGAATTAATATCTCGAAAAAGACCCTCTCCAAGCGATACACTCGATCAGAACATGAGATCTGGTGAATGCTGTCATACCTAATCCAAGATCCACAAGATAAAGCTTCTTCTCATCAGCTGATCCTGGCTGACCCAGTAGAAAATTCTCAGGTTTTACATCACCATGAACAAATCTAAGTCAAGAGAAAAGTAGCTATCAATCAGTGATAAGAGCATGATGTAGACAATGTCCCCACAAACCAAACAGAGACTGATGAACAAGGTGTACCCTTTTAAATGAAGTTTCTCCAATATGGATATTGCCTCCACTGCGATGCAAGCAACCATCTCAGTAGACATCCTGTTCATTCGCTCAGTATTAAACGAAATGGTATCAATAGCTAGAAAAAGACAATAAATATAATACAAAAGAAGCTGGCTCATCATACGCTTGGCCTGAAGAATTCCAGACATCCCAAAGACTCGGACCAAGCATGTCCATGGCCTGCAATACGCATCATACACGAAAAAATAAAAACTCATTAACTAGATTTATATAAATTCAAGTAAAATTAACCAAAACATAAACGTCGAGTAGTTGGAAACTTCATCTCATTCAAATGCCAAATAAAAACCAACCAGAATGTAGTAGTCCCCTTGACGCCCCTTGTGATGAACCAAAGGCAGCCCATAACATCCATTCAGTGTGCTAGTGAATCACAATGAAGATAGTACATCATTTAGATGAATGAGATCTAAAATAGGGCCAGTTTGTTCAAAATAGACATTAAATACTTTCCAAGAGAAATACACACTTGTAAACCTGCCACTCATAAGGAGGCCCGTAATTGCATCCCTTACTGGAGCGGTGCTCAAACTTCAAGGCAACCTTCAAAATACAACACCAAATTCATTAACCCCAAAAGTTTATGTTGTTCATGATTCCATTCCTAATTTAACAAGGTCGAACATATGAAAATAGTTAAGAATTGTCCCTAAAATATGCAGAGTCAGCTCATACTTCAACAGCATCTGGTCCAGTCCGTTCGGTTCCACCAGTAATCCTTCTCCCGACATAAACCTGACCAAAACCCCCTTTACCCAGCTTCCTTTCTAGCTTGTAAACAGGGGAGTTGCCTAACTGTATCTGCAAAACAAAAATTAAAGCAAACTCTTACTGGATTGGTAATAGGCTACTCAAATGAAAAATATTAGTCTTGTAACTACGAAGACCACTGTTTTTCTTTTAGTAAGGGAAAGTAATTTATTTTAATATGGGTTCATCTCATTTGAAGAGGAGGCTGCCGAGACAATGTTCCCTTGGGAAAGTTACCAAGGAAATCGCATTGGCATACAGTCCAATTCAGAATGTATACTTCTATTTCTTCAAGCAACAAACATTACAAGGCTACCTGGATATGTGAGATTAAAAGATTAAAAAAATAAAAGCTCAAAATACATACTCTTTCAGGAAGTTTCGCTGTGCTTCCTTCCTCTTCAGCTCCCAACAACTTATCTGCGCTTCTCTCTTCCATTGCCTGGTCTGGGACTGCCACTTTCTCTCGAACCCCTAGATTCAAATTGGCTTCTTCCCTACCTCCAACACCAATCGGTAAATTCTCACAAGGTTGATCCAAGTTCGCCAATCTAACACCTCGGCCCCTCCCACCCACCCTTTGTTTAGGAGAAGGTAATTTTACTACTGTGCCATTGCAGTTCTTGCCTCTACCTGAACCTCTCTTGGTGGTTTTATTAGGAATGGGTGGACCCCAAGGGTCAGCTATGGCTTCGACAACTGGGTTTTGTAACTCCTCAACTCTCTTCGATCTAAGCCGAGGTTGCCTTACTCCACTACGCAGCTCCGGCATTCTTTCCCCATACACAAATACAGTAGAGAGAGAGAAAAGAAAGAGAGTGTGGGAGAGATTTTGTCCTCCCTTCTAGCCTCTTAAGAGGCTCGCAATAAATTTCACTTTTGATTTGCTAATTCTTAGGCTTCTGTTGTTCTTCTTCTTTTGTCCTGATGGATCTAAAGATGGGTAATTAATTTCCAGTCCTTACACTTCTGATAACCTGTATCAATCGATTCAATCTCATGAGATATAGCTTGATTTGTGGAATGATAATTCATCAAAAAGGCACTTGAGGTTATTAGCAATATAAAACCAATCTTCTTTTTTCAGAACACACACACAAGTGCACACAGTGGTGCAAACTCTCAACAAAAATTTCAGAAAAAAACTAATTTTGATGGGAAAAAATCAACGGGAGAGAAAGAAAGCTTAAAAAGAATGCACAAAACCCCACCTCAATGCAGAAGGAAATCAGAGAACACTGAAGTATAATCAAGCAAAACCAACCAGAGATAAAAGCTTTAAACAGTAAATCCCTATAATCCCTAACAAAAACTGGAAGTATGCTATAAAGAATAATCTGAACATAAAATAAAAAATAAAAAACTAGCCATTTTCCAAAATATATAAGAAAATCAATACTTCATAATCCCGCAGAGCTAGACAAACAGATATTGTGGGAAACACTCTTCAAAAGAAATGCAACACAAAATCTGCATATTCAATATCATGTCTGGATTCCAATCAGGGAACACTCTGCAAAAGATCCAATAATGTGGAATAAATTAGATAAAGAGAGAACAACGAGAGAATCAAAAATGGCTGTTTGATCAGTAATCAGAAGAGATACAGGGTTCGATCAATAAATCTGAAGCATTAATCAAGTCAGAGTCCTAGCTTTTGATCAGCAAAACATTCTAATCCAAAACAAATATGCATAACAGACTAACTTATATGAACATCCAAAATAATATTGAAGCAAATCATGAAGGTACCAATACCCTAAGCCTTCCAAAACACCAATCATCCATTAACACTAAAACCCACAAAGACCCAGAAAAGAAAACCAGTGAAATTCCAAGAAACTCACATAAAAAAACCAGACATAAAATCAACATCGGCAAGGTCAATACACCATCATCCACCCAAAGAATCATCGCAATAATCCATTAACACAAAAATGCACCCATGCAATAGACCAAACAATGATCTAAAATGAAATAAGCTATAGATGAAACATGTACCTTTTGATCAGAAAGAGCATCAAGGTGGGCTACTGTTACACAAACAGAAGACCGATAAAACTGAACCAGCAAATGGGTAGATAGAAAATAGATAGATAGAGAGTTATAGAGAAGGATAGAGAGAGAGTGAGTGAGTGAATGAGTTTGTAGAGAGAGAAAGAGAAAACATGTAGATTTCTAGAGAGAGATAAAGGGGGAGAGAATGGTTGGGTTATCTGAATGGGTAGGAGGAGATATTGGTTGGGAGGAGGAAGGACATTTCCTCTCCTCCTCTATACTGTTTCTAACAGATTTGAGTGATTCTCTCTCATGGCAAGGGGATGGGAATTATTTAGGGTATGTGAGAGAAAGGAAAATAAATGTGGGCAAGCTCTAGAGAGAGAAAGGAAGAGCGAGAAAGAGAAAGAGAAAGAGAGAAGGTAGAGAGAGACAGAGCGACAGAGAGAGAAAGGAACCGTACCCTTTCTTACTGGCCTAAACATGCGGTGGTGTAAAACGTTACTTTACCCGCTACGATTAATGTCTAGTGAGGCAGTGAGTGTGGCCCTTTTTAATTTGTTTGTTTTTGGGGATTTTGGGGTTCCCTCTTCCTTTCTCTCTCTAACCCTCTCTCCTTCTCTCTCCACTCAAAACTCAAAAGGACAATTTTTTTTAGGGATTTTGGGGTTCCCTCTTCCTTTCTCTCTCTAAACCTCTCTCCTTCTCTCTACTCAAAACTCAAAAAGACAATTTTTTTTAGGGATTATGGGGTTCCCTCTTCCTTTCTCTCTCAAAACTCTCTCCTCTCTCTATTCAAAACTCAAAAGGGCCAGATTTTTTTAGGGATTTTGGGGCTCCCTTATCCTTTCTATCTCTAAACCTCACCTTCTCTCTCTACTCAAAACTCGAAAGGACCCGAGTAAGTCGGCAGTGCACGCAAGCGTGTGGGTGCGAGCTTAGAGTGATGACCAAGTGTGTCTCTCTCTCTCTCGCCCATATTCCCTCGGGTGCCCATTCTCTCTGCCACCTAAGTGAGGGCGGGCAATCAGGCCGGTCAGTGTGTCAACCCGAACCGGCTTGAGTCCAAGTCTATGTTTTAGACCCTGTGGGTTGGGTCGGGGTCGAGCCAACTTGGTATAAAGTATATAAAATATATTCCTATGAAGTATATATATATATTAAATTTTTTATTTTAAAATTTCAACACCATGCAGGTCGGGTATGGATCCAAGTGACTTGGACCGGACCTAGGATGAGGTCACATCTAGGTCCATGTAAAACTTAGTCTGGTCGTATCTGGGTCGACCCGACCCATTGCCACCCCTAGCTTGAGTGTGTATTATCTCTCTATCAACGTTCCTCTCTTTAGCCCAAAATCCCCACTGGCTTGCCCAAAAAAAAAAATGCCCCTCTCTCATGAAACTATGTTTTAATGCTCCGCATTTCATCAAAGCGAGAGTAAATGAAGCTATGAATGCCAATCTTTGTAGCTTTATTCCCAAAAATGGAGAGAACCACTCGGTGATATCCAGCTTATAAGTTTGTTTAGTATAAAGAAATCTCAATTATTTTTAAGCATTGGATGTGAAATCCAATAGATGAAAAAATGTCACAACATTTGAAAAATTTTATTTTGGACTTTGTGTCCAAACAATAAAACATCATCAACCGCACAATATCAAATCTAACGGCCAATGATGACGGTGACCTCTTTATATCAAAAGTAGTTGGTCTTATCATATTCATTTCCATAAAATATTGACAAAGATTTTAGCAGACATTATGAGGGTCAAGATTAGAAACATCTGAGTACCATGGTTTGTGTTTGTTGAGAATAGGTACGCATCGAACAGGGTGCTCATAGCTCATGAACATGCGCATTTTAGGTTAAATTAGTAAGCATCATTTGTAAATTGGACTTCGAGGAGGCCTATGGGAGAGCGAGTAAAGTTATCGAGACAAAACAATGGGCTTCATAGGCTTGGTAGGATGATCGCAATGGGCACGCTAATAGGGTTTAGGGTGTGTCCTGGAGGGTTGGATAAATTATATTTTCAATATATTGATGATACTCTTATCTTTTAAAATGCAAGTAAAAAAAAGATGAAGGACCTAAAGCTCGTCTTATGTTGGCTTGCACTGGTCACTAAAAAAAACCAAGATTACGGGGTTCTCTTGTTCGGTAGACTGCATAGCTCATGAGTGTGTGCATTCCACATCGAGAAAGATCACTGGGCATTACATGTAAATTGAACTTCCAAAAAACCGTTGAGAAGGTATATTGAAGTCATCTAGACAAAACCATGGCCCTCCCGGGCTTTGGCGCAAGATGGAGAAAGTGGATTAATGGCTGCTCATCCTCAACTCATTTTCTACTGTTGATCAGTGAAACCTCAAGCTGGTTCTTCAAGGCAACTCAAGGTGTAAGCATCGATGCGGAACAGTAGAGTAAAAGCCTATGGAAATAAACACGACCAATAAATATGGTTTACACGCATCTACCTGATTCATCTAGAATTTCAATGACTGAGCATAAACTCATCGATTTGGAAGGAAATCAATGACTACCACTCGCTATTCATGCCCCTACAAGAATATCCATCGGATATGGTAGCATAACCAATTTCTAGCAGGATAAATGGCTATGTCCTGCTAAATCATGACCACGAATTCCGGAACAACAATGGAGGAGGAGTGCATAAATGGTAACGCAAGTTGATCCATTGAACTACATCTCAAAGAATTTGTCTGAAATAATTTGTGACTGAATCATCAATACATAACCAATCTGATGCCTATGGAGCAACAACATGATTTATCACCTGCAATGGAGAACAACTTAATTTGGAACCAGAATGCTTTATAAAATCAATGGAGTATCTTCTTGCAGGTGCATCAAATGATAGCTTTGTAGCCTCCTGAAAGTTGGATAGGGTGATCTAGCATAGTATTTATTGTTTTAATTTTTTTTCATTTTAATGGTTAGAACACTTACAAATGTCCAAATACAATAAATTCAATTCAAAATAAACAAAGATCAATTACAAAAGATGTTTTCACTTGCTTCCACTTAATAAAACTTCTTTTATTCAATAAACAAAATTGCATAATACTCTTGGGACAACGATGCAAAGTATAAAGTAAATTGCCAGAAAATTACTTCAATTAGACTTTACTCCGGTTCTCCTCCTCTAATGGTGCATGAGACCAATGGTTTATCTCATACCTTCAAAATATGGTAAAGGTCCTCCAATGACGCATGAGATCAATGATTTATCTCACATCTTCAAAATATGGTAAACCTCCTCCAACGGCGCATGAGATCAATGGTTTATCTCATACCTTCAAAATATGGTAAACCTTAGACTATCACCCTTAATCAAATTAAACCATTTGTGGAATAAGCACAAACTAGAAGGCCTCAATGCCTTGTATGGTTTCTCCAAGGTCATGGTTTGTTAGGGTAAGCCATTATGGAGAATAAATCTAGAATATTGATCATAGAAGACCGAGGTGAGAGATATTAGCCTCACAATCATTAAGTCAGTCATTATAATTAAAAGTAATTTGTTATAACATTATCCTTCAGCTTCGTTAACCTAATCCTTTCAAATAAAATTAATATGAAAGATATATTATAATTTCCTATCTCTTCCATAATTCTCTTATACATACTCTAATTTGAAAATCATATCTCTTAATTTTCAAAAGTTTCGATTTTATTTCATTTGGATTGAGTGCTTTGATGGCCTCAACACAAATAAGGAAACAAAGTGGACAATGTGAGGTGTGCCTCTAGTGAGCCCCACGCACCACCCACATGATCTATCTTAGTGGATGAAGAATAATACCCCCCATGTGTAAGAGTAATTTTAAAATTAAAAATAATTTTAGAAAATAGTTATTATTTTATTTTTCTCTCTGAATATAAAAATAGTGAAAAATAAGTTTCTCTCTATTTATAAAATCCATTTTGAGAAAATAAAAAATCCAAAGACTTATAAAAATTCAATCTATCAATTTAAAAATCATTTAAGATCAAATTTCTCAATTATAAATTAATTTGATAGGATTTTGATCCAACTGTGTGAAGGAATAATTAATTTTACTAAAGCACTCTATATTCCACTGCGGACCATAATTCACACTCACTGCCTCAAACAAATCCAACATTTCCCATGGCTTACTAACAATCGTAATGGTTTATAATTGGGCTACCAAAGTCTGCTAATAGACGAGATGACATAATCTTAGCCTATGGATTACAGGTAAGACAAGTCCAAGGTCACACAGACCTGTGCACACACAATACAACTCTATGGTACATATGGGGATCATCTCTCGCACATGTACATATATCACCCTCAACGATGATTTGCTTTTTGGAGATGGCTATCATATATACACGCCACATGATGGTTGAAGATGAGGCTTTGGCCTTCATCCCTACATGCCTACTATCACACATCAGAGTCATATAATCCCTTGGCTCACTATCCTAGGCAACTCCGACCTCATCAAGGAATTATCCTACTAACTCTTATCGATTGTGCTCTATACCCAAGTATTTAGGATTTTGTAACTCGACTGGCCTAGTTCGTTAAGCCTAGTTTAAGTCTGACAAACATCATTTACTAATTTTGGTCCCACTGGACCATACTCTCACTAGAATTCTTTGTTCCACTATATCAAAAACTTGATTACATGCTCTCATAAAACCTTTTAATAGCCATAAATACCCAACACCTCTTTGGTCTATAAATGCCTTAGGCCACACAAAACACCGGCATTTTTGTGGTTATCAGTTATGGACAAGATATTTGGGTCAACCACTTCAGAAATAGGAGATTGATGATCCCAAAAATCATCCCATGTGTAGGTTAGCTGAAGAAAGGGACCAAAAGACCAAAACTCTTGAGATAGAAAAACTAAAATGCAGAACACCAAAGGCAATGTTTACATGAAAGAAAGTTACCTATGGTTCTTCTGGGTAAAGGAATTATTGAGGATTGATGTATTGTATTATGAGGAAATAGATCTGCCAAGGTGAAGTAAAAAAGACGACTCCGGATGGCCGTTAAAAGCTCAAAGGGCCGAAGGCCCGCAGGGATATATCTGGGACTTAATGTATATCCATACAAGGGTATTTCGATAATTTGTACTATCTATCTAAGACTCGATATATATTATTGTGATTGGGGGTTCATCAAAGGTTAAAGGTTAAGAGAAAAACGCATATCTCTTTGTAATTAGATAAAAACAAAGAGGCCTGAAGATATATATTGTTGCAATTGAAATCAAGGGTTAAGGGTTAAGGAAAAAACACATATATCTTTATAATTAGATAAAAACAGAGAGGCGTGAGGAAGAGAGCAAAGTGTAACCCTATTCTCCATTATCAGTAAATAAGCTTTAATCTCCTATGGACATAGGCATGTTGCCT